GCTGAGTTTTCACAATAAAAGAATCACAACATGAGTCCATCCACTTTCTACACACTGACATCATGGAGACAAATATTTTGTATTATTAAACACTGTCTTCTAAGAACAATTGTTTGTTTTTTCCAAAATAGAGATTTGGTGATAACTTGCTTTTTTTTCAGAAAAATGGAACCTGGATTTTTCCCATCCCTTCCAAGCATTTTGTTATGTAATAGCAGTAAAAATCGTAATATTTCCAATTCAGCATTTTACATTTCCCTTCTTTTAAGCCCCTTTAAAAGGAACTGAAAGAAAAACTGGTTTCAGAAAGTGAACATCACTCTTACTAGCCTATTCTTCCCAGTGGAGCAGATGAAAAATACAAGTGTGAAATGACATATATATAAAATAAACAATCATAGTTGGAAAGAAAAGGAGAGTTAAAAAAGAAAGAACTGACGTTAAGTTCTCAAATACACCCATATTGAATTGTCAAAAAAGTGAAAACAGATTGAACGAAACTGGAGATGAAACATGTTTGTATTCTCTCAGACTTTCTGAGATTGCACTAACAGAACGAGAAAAAAGTTTTTAAAAATTCAGTTCCATTTGACTGTATTTCCTTTGTTTTGTTCACGTTTGGAGGAGAAAATTTCAAATAGAGCCTAGTTGGCTGTTCACTACATTTCTTGCCAGACACAAAGTATTAACACTGTTTTGAAAATGCTTGTGAGAGAAGAATTATTTTGAGAGAAACCATGTCCTTAACAGGAGAATCTGAATCTCAAGTCCAAACTCTAAAGTAACATTTACACTTTTAAGGAATATGCTATATAGGCTTATTTAGCTGACAGACTGAGTTTGCCAATATTTGTTCCTCATTAAAAAAAAAAGAAAATATCCCATTTTGCATGTTAGACCTAATGTAAAAAGTGATTTTCTACTAAGAGGCTGGAATAGGAAGAGAATTTCTCAACAATATGCTACACAATGTTGCTGAGAACAAGCACCCCCTACACCCTTTCTATAAAAATAATTTAATTATAGAAAATAACATGGATGCAAATATAGTTTCCAAATGACAGCATAGTTTCAGCCCAACTATTTCCAAGGAAATCACACTATTAATCCCTGAGAGCTATCAGATGTACAGAAGACATGGTTGGGTTATACAGACACCAAATTCTGTGGCTGTTGCTATGCAGTGTTACACTCCAAGTGCCAGAAGTCACCAGTGATGATTAGGAGGATATGGCACTGGAGCTATTTAAGCAACTAAGATAAATACACTCATTGGAATAGGTTACTGTTCACACACACAATATGCATTAGCTTTTGACCTGATGAGTGTGTGGTTTCAAATAGTTAAGACAGAAGGCATAAAGGAGAAGATGTATTATTATTATCACATAGCAAAATGACACTTACTCAGTTACAGGACCCTGACAAGCACAGGAGACAAACCCGTGTTACCTGAATTCATTAGTCCTTTACTTATTATGTTTCTCTAAACATATGATTACACTAAATTACTCCACTTTCTTCAACTCCTTGTCATGATGAGCTATCATGCCCCTGTCACGCATGATGTGGTTGGCTAGGATACCATCCTTTTTCCTTAAAGCCAATTTTCCTTTCTGTCCTCAATTCCCCACTCTGGCTTTTACACAGAAAAACTAACTTGTAGTTTGTTTTTTGCACAAACTCTAGCAGTTCGTGCAAATACAACTACGGGAAAAAAATTCCTGATAAGACTTTTTTTTTTTAAAGTTGAGAATGCATAATAAGTTGCTTAAATTGTAACTTTCAAATATTTTTGCACATTTAAAGCCTCTAAATCTGAAGTTCATATGCTTAACCATTAGCTTAAAACTGGAAATTATTTTTCTATGCATTTATTACTGTGATGCAGGACATCCCACAGTGTAACCATTCTAGCCACATTCATCACAAGGGTTACCTGGGATATGGGTTGCACATTTAATTTCAATTTAGAATTAATTCTACTTTAGGTTTAATTTTATATCTTGTTCAGGTTACTCTAATACATATTTTAAGCTGAAATATTCTCTTGCTGTATATAATTTTATCACCACCATTTTATCAAAACTTGATTGACGCACATTGTGAATGATTCAGCTGTAAACACCTGGGGATTTTGTATTTAAAAATTCTTGGTGACAGAAGTCCTCAGGAGTTTGGTGGCTCTTACCAACTAATTAGTAAAATAAATAAATTGTAGATTAGTAATACATGTATTTTGCCATTGACTATACAGAAAAAAATCTGCAACACAATAAGAGCTGTTTACAAAATAAGATTTATATTTAAAAGGTACTGTATTTCTTTTTCTTTAATTTTAAGTCTTTGACTACTACTTTAGACTACAATCACGTTTAAGGCAGGTAATTGCTAGAAACTTTAATAATTCTCAGAATATTTCTTTTTTAGGTTTCCACTTTTCAGGAAATGAAGCAATGGCAAGTATTTTGTAATACGCGTGTTTATATATTTCTTTTTCCCATGTTAATCTTTGATTCATGGATCAACAGAAGAGTTACTTAATGAAAAAACTATTTTAAATAAGAGCTGTCACAAACCTGTTTGACTCATATTTAACCTTATTTATTCCTGACATAGATAATGTCAGGGCTTGATTTTCCAGCAGTCCTAATAATCTTAAAGATAACTCTGAAATTTACTTGCTATCTTTCCTGTGATGACCTTGAATAACATAAATGGTTCTGCATATTTTCTGGATTACAAACTTTTCCCTGTTTGGCACCAATGTCTACTTTGTAATGATTGCCTTGTGTATTTAATTTTAGTACATTTTTAGTTCTTGAAGCTTTGTGCTGCTCATGGATTTCTTCAGACAAAGCATTTATAGCAACATCTCAAAGACAATACTAAATCTCCTTTTATGCAAATGTATTAAAACATAAGTTTCAAACATGCAAACATATTTAAACATAAATATCAGGCGCACAAATGTCCAAAGTGCAAGTAAAATTCAAAGTGCTAATAAAGTATCTGAGCTGTCCCTTTTTATTTCTGCTAACAAACACTAAACGCAAGGATTCCTAGAAACCTCAAGCCACCTTTATGCCACTGACTTACTTTAAGAAATGACTGATTGAGTGAAATTGCACCTAATGATATCTGCAGCACTTAGTGCCACTCACTAAAGGGAAATCACCGTTTATGTACTGATGGTTAAAGATAAAACTAAAATTTTGTCTTACAGGAAGCTGAATCATAGAAGCTTGTGAACTAATTTTTACCATAATTTGAAATTTATTCTAAGTCATGGATAAGTTCTCTGGATTTTGCTGCCTTGAGCATTTTCAGAAGCAGCTCCCTTGCAGGCTCAAAAAATTCCCTAAAAAGTACCCAAAAATTTATCTAAAGCTGCTGTTCCTGTACTGCTTCCCCTTGCATTAACAATTCCAACTGCAGAACTGCACAGCAACACCACACTGAAACCTGGTCCTTCAGCAAAGATGTTCTCATGCTTTCTGAAGGACAGGATTCTCTTGGGAAGGAGTGGGGGAGACATTTGGGGTTTTAGTGGTGTTTTTTTCCTTCCTCTGACTGGGTTACTGCACCCTTGCAATTGCCAGTGTGAGTAGGAAGGAGGAATCTGGGGTCAGAGGTGAGGAAATCAAAGCTGCCACTCTGACTGCGGCACAGATCCAGAATGGTCCATGCTGACCTTGAAACTGCACCTTAAACCATCTTGGGTAAGATATTAATGCATTCCTTTCCACAGCCATTCGTGTAGCTTTTCCTTTTAATTAATTTCTGGATATGATAGATTGTGCTTTCAAGAGCTATCACACTACCATATTAAATTTTAGAATCATTAGAAAGAGAAATTGAAAAAAAGAACAAAAATATGAACTTCAAAAGTGAGGCACAGAATAATAACCATGGGAAATAAGAGTCCCACACACTTTGGAGTTTCAAACAAGCTGTTTGCCAAAGGTAAACAAAGGTCATCATGTTCTGACCTCAATAGTTATTTATCTGTTTCCTCACATTCCAGAAGTTTATGTTCTAACCATCAGAGTGTGAAGTGTCCCATTAATTTACTTTTTTCTTATATAGCAAATATTACATATTTTGTACAAAGAGCAATCTATCAAACACTAGGGTGCACCCATCTCACCTTGTAACACTAAGTGTCAAAAAGCTGCTTCTAGATGATTGGAGAACAACTTTTTAAAGCTTACCTAAAGTAGGTATTTAAAGTCAAATGAATCTTAACTCAACACTCCCAGAATATTCTGCAATAGAACTGTTTCTTCCATCTGTTGTGGGAATTCAGAGGGGCTGCATCTGCTCTACTTTGTCCAAAGCACTTCATTTGGAACAGAAATGAGCAGCACTCCTCCAGTCTGTGTGCTGACTTCAGAGCAATTAGGCAGCACCTAATGGGAGGTGCAAGAGGTAGGGATTTGCCTGGCAGCCTGGATGTCCACTCTCAGTCCTGTTACTGGGAAATACTCTTAATGAGTGACATTTACAAACAAGAATCTTCTGGATCTCTTGGCTGGCAACGATGTCTTTTGTGCCAGAACATTCATAGTCTCATTCAATAAATTTAAATTGAAAGTGCCCTTAGATTGCATTCTTTTGTTATTTTTTTTAATTAGGTTTCACCCAATAGTGTGTAAAAAATCAATAGTGCTACATCTTTATACTTGTTGATCCCCTTATAAACCCATGTGTTAGACTGTTATTACTGAGTGCAAGTGCCTCCTTCTGCAAAGACTGAACCTCATAATCCATTTTGCATCTAAACCAATCTCCACACAGAGAAAAAAAAAATCACCAACAAAATACACCAGGAATCCTCATGTCTGTATGGGCACTGAGTGCACCCCTGAGGCTTTATGCTAAGCAGCTGAAATAACTTTTGTGGAACTGTTGAGACCATCAAACCAAGAAAGTATAACCATTCCAAACATGTTTTCCTTCCGTGCTCTGGATTGAAAAGTAAATGTCTTACTACTTACCAGTGTCTCCATCTGCTCTTTTCAAGACTGTTGACTATTCATTTATTCAGTAATCCTAAAAAGAAGAAAACAGGAATGCTTATTTTCAGTGCCACCATCAGATATAAGGTAATGGATCCAAATTTCAGCATTTTCCACAAGCATTTAAATATGACATGTTAGAAAAAAAAATTTTGAACAATACTCTACAACTTGATAAAAGTTTTCTCAAAATCAAAATCATTGCAATGGAGCTGAACATTTCTATGTGAGACAACATCTGTTTCTGCCATCCTCTTCATTGTCTCTTCAGTCCCTAAGCACGGATTGACCTGGATGCCTTTTCCTATGGTGCCCATGCAGGGATGCTTCACAAATTACAAACATTCACAGCTTCTTATTTCCAAAGCTCACAATAATGGAAATAAGAGTTCTGGGAATTCAAAAATCAAAAGATCATGACTGCATGGAGACAAAATACTCTTATCCTGCTTTCCTCTGGTATTTTCTTCACCAGTATAGAAGATGCAGCTCCTGCCCATATCAAAGAGTCTTTGACAGTTACAGCCAAAAAAAGTTAATTTTAAGAAAACAAAAATCATCTCACAATGCATCCTACAATGAAAAACACTTATTTCCGCAACTTTGTAAAACAGTCCAAAACACTTTGTTTGCACCAAAATATAAAATATATAAAGATATTGTCTTATATATTTATTTTGCAAGTCATAAATTTTAAAAATATTTTTTTTCATCATAAAACTTCGTTGCAGATTTAAAGCCTAGGTTCATTAACAGAAGCATCATAAGGAGTTTAATCTAGCTTTGGCTTAGCCTGTGCTGAGTGCTGTCTCTTCTAGCTTTCATGAGAGAACATTTTGGGTGAATTGTGGGTGATCTCAGTGATCCCCACAAAAGGAAAGCTGTCAGGAACTTCCCTCAGTACAACAAGGAGTTGACAAAGCTACTTTTACTTCCTACAAAAATGTAGAATAGCAATAACAAAGACCAGCACTTAAAGAGTAACATGAATTTATACACACTACTATGTTCAGAGGCAACTAAGAGTTTCATTTACAGCAGCTTGTTACCAAAGTAGTGCCAGCAGTGTTTATTAATTAAAGGTGTTTTTTCATCCTTAGCTCCTTTGTGAAGAAAGTGAGAATTAGTCTACTGTTTCTGGGGAATTACAGTTTTCTAATCATTTAAAAAATGAGGGTGACTAGTTCTGCCACCTATTTGCCCTGCAAACATTCTGCCTCTTATACATGCCAGAATTATGACAGCTCTGTTTCACACTGCCTATACATTATTTTAAATATTGCTGCTGTACAGAATCTAAATGATTTTGTCCATCAACCAAAATCTGTGCTGGTTTTCTTTTAAAAAAGCTCTGCTCTTGGCTTTCAGAAGAACATGTTGTTTCATTCCCCTAAAGAAGCTCAGAACATCAAGGAAAATAACATCAAGTGATAGTGGGTTCAAACATATTTCTAATCTTTACAACCCTTCAGTACTTACATTAAAAAAAGTGAGGCATAATTTATTTCTGATGAAGCAGAGTTGCTCAGCTCTCTGCTAATAGGATCCTCAGGGCAAAAGGGGTAGGGAAAGCACTGATAAAAGCAGAGAGCTTCATTTTACTGGGATTTTTTTTTCTAGTCTGGAAACAATAAATTAATAATAGTGTTTACTCTGATTATCGTTGATTTAGGATAAATTGTTCTCATTTAGCAAATGGGGAAATGAAATTCAGTGCCCAAGGGACAGAGAATGGAAATCTATGCCAAAGGCTACAATTGAAGACACATTTAGAGACCCATTCTGAGTCCCTGGATTAATTCCAATCATTGCTGATAATAGGGAGGCTGATATTCTAGCACCGTTTACCAGTTTAATGATGCAAGTTGCCCCTCCTTTCTCCTCCTCTCCCTTTTCTTCCCCTTCTGCTCCCCTCATAAAACTTATTTGCTTTTTGATTAATCCTTGAAAGGCCACTAGCCTTCAGGCTTTTGGAAAAGCCAGGACAATTTTTCTCAGAGATACACACCTACGTTTTAATAATTTTAATTAATCCAAAATTATTCTTCTGCCAACCAACCCTTATTCAATGCAGGAATTGAGCAGGAAAATGTCAGAATTCTGTATGGTACACTGTACTGCTAAAAAAGATGTACTTCTCAGGAAAAGTATCATGAAAGCAATAGAAACACCATTATCCATCCAAAAAGACAGCTTGGACAAAGCGAACTGTTAAAGGTATTGTAATTTCCTTAAAGTGCTGTGGTATTATCGTACTTCCCATCCTTGAAAACAAGGAAAGAGGATACGTAATCCAGTACTGGAGGTGATGACAGACAGCAAAAGCTTCAGACTAGTGTTGCATTTCCTCCTATGGAAAGTATCCCCATTTATTACCACTCATTAAAATTTAACTTTATAGAGCATCTTTAAAAGGTCACTTTTAAAATAGGAGTATTATAGATGATATTACTGACTAGTTAGAACTTTGAGAACACAAATCCTCAGTCTTGTTGTTTTCAATTATTAAAGATAAGGCATAAATATGATTAATTCAGCTCTTTTTAATAAAAAGTAGTTTATTGTTTTGCTATGTATCTAACCCAGTCATTTGCATCGAGTTCTCCTAATAAATACCTTTGTCTTGAAAATGGCATTGTATTACTACACTGATGTATTCATTACCTCATATTGCTTTTACCATATACTAAAATGGCATTTTCCTTAATGTTTTAGTCACTTATTCACAGCTGCTGCTTTTAGCATTTACACACCATGTATGGAAGCAAGAATATCTGCAAATATCAAACCAAAGACTAATTTTAGGAAATTTATGCGACTCTGCATACCTAGAGTAGCACCCAAAGTATTCAGTTGGCCTATCCCAATAGCATACTCATTATTTTCATCTTAATATTCAGAGCAATGTGACGCTGCTTAGAAATCCATTCCAAAAAATGTTGATGCCAAAATGGGCTTAGCACAAGTGCAGGCTACCACTACTTCCTTCACTGTCAGTGGAACTTACAGATACAGCTGATCTATTTCTTTCAAGGAAAACTGAATTAAAAGTGCATAGATGGTCAGTTTTAACCCTTAAAACCACGAGTTTAAACCTGAAACTCAATTTCTCTACTACTAGTTTAAAGACACATTTGCAATCTCTTCTGTCAGCTTCTCCTTGTTGGCACAAGGACTGTGCTGACTTTGAATGTTATCGATGGCTTTTAGTCCCCTTAATTAGGGGTTCCACATGATCCAATAATGGCAAAGCTTGATGTACTTTTTAATGACTCTGTTTGTACTCATAGCACTGCTCTTTTGAAGGATTTTTGTCTCCAAAATTGGGTGTAACAGAATTATGCAGGTACTGGCTGGCACCTCACCCAAATCAGTGCTTGTAACTGTGATGCTGGATTGGAGAGTGGCAGTCAGGAAACACCTGGTTTTCACAAAGGGAAAAAGGAAAAAAGCCAGAGCAAGCAAGACATACCAGTGTCGAAGCCCAGCCCCAAAAATCTGTAGAACCTAACCTATGCCTCCTATTTCTTGTCCCCTTAGTTGCACAGACTGCCACAGGAACATTCTTTTAAATATTTAAAGATAATTTTCTTAAAATTTCTGGATGAATTTGCAAATATACAAATAAAAGTTTACTCTTTGGAGTCTTGCTGGCATGAGATCTCATCAGGTAGATTGAAGATCGCTTTCTAAAACTGAGTAAATGCCTTAAGATGTGACTTCATCTCTTTCTTAGCCTCACCATAATTTACATTTCAGGAGGAAACAGTAATATTACACAGATTAAAAGAAAAATAAATAAAACTGCAAAGAGACAAGCCCTACTATCAAATTAAGACTTGTTTCTAGGATATTTAAGTCAGACATTTACAAGCAAATAAATAATGAATCAACACCATACATGGAAACTAAAGAATATAAGGATTGCAGGGTATAGATTTCATCTTCTCTTTACTGTTATGAATATATTTACAGAACACTGTTTAAACACATCTTGAAGCAGAGAGTTGTGCAACACGTGTGTTCCCAACTACTAGTCTCAGAAAGACCTGCTCTCCTCCATCCATCCTTTATTTTGAGCTTTCCCAAAGCTTTAGACATATCTGCATCGTTCATTGTCGAGCTTTGGGAAGGACCTCAGAATTTCAAGCCTTGTATAGCTCTAGATGCAGTAGAAATCGAGGATTCAGCTATCCAAGACCTCTTGGAATATCAAGCCAATAGTTCCCTTCCACACAGGCTGAGTCAGAGCCCACACAAAGTGTTTTAACAGTCAACTCTTCCTTTTAATGCAGAACCAGAGAAGATTCAAGCCTAGTTAGCAGGGCACGTCATGCCTTGACTAAATGGTTTGTTTGGACTGATCAGATTCAAACTCCAGATGTCAAACTGCACTCAGAGAATGAACTAATAGATGATAGTGAACACCTTAAACCCTTGGTTAGAAAGGTTTTTCCAGACTGCTAGATATAATGCAAGATTCAGTAAGATGTGTGATTTCACTTCTGCTCCTTGGACTGTTTCTATATTTGATACTGCAATTACAATGGACTTGTTCTGAAGGGAATGCTTGAATCAGGCATATCAAATATAGCCACCTGCTACTATTAAATAGCATTTGTAGTTTGCCCACTGTGATATCATCTTGTAAGTAAAGTTCAAAACCTATGAGAAAACCTGCTCTAATAAGAAATCCATTTCAACAGAAACACCAGGTTACATTAAAAAAAAGGATTTGTTTCCTAATACCTTTTTAAGTAGCTTTGGCTAAACTGCAGGGAAACATCCACTTACCTTTAGATATCCAATTGCACCAGAAAAAGAGTAAACTTTAAAAATCACAAACATTTTCCAGTATACTTGATTGAATTTTGTCATTCTGGTAACAAGCAACAACCTTTCTGTAATCCGTCACCAAAATTATAAATGAACCCTAAAATTTATAGAAGAAACAGATGTAAACCTTAATGCTAGAAACAAGTGAGCATCAACACCTTCCCTGAAGCATTCTGATTTTTAGTCTGTCATTCTAAACAAAAATCAGGAGGAGTGTAACGCAGAGAATCAGATGTTTTTGGATTTGCTCCAGAGTGAGATCTTTATCTGCACAGTGCCATGAGCATATTCACACAGCAGTATGATCAATGTATTTGACTCTAAACCCATGGCCTCTA